CTCTGGTGGGCACCATTTCACTGGAAACTTAGCACCTGAAGAGCTTGTGTACTGATCATCAAGAACATACCTAAAAAAAGGGGGAAAATCATGCTCAGATTTGCAAGATCATGTCACGTGACATTCCATTCACGGCAGAAGTCCTACTGCTCGATCTTTGCAGCGATAATACTATATCTAAGCCAAAACAGGAATTAATTACAAATTCATGTACAGCAGCGAAAGTGGTATTGGCTAAGACTTGGAAGACAGAGGTATTTCCCTCAATCCATGACTGGCTTATTAAAGTATGTGATTTATGTGTGCATGATAAAATTTCTATGTCAATATATGAAGAAGAAAATTACTCTGATACATCAGATTTTGAAGTGTTACGTTTTCCATTTCTTAGCTTTATTTGCAGTCACAAAGATGTTAAGTGGCTCTCTAGTTGGTAATATCCATTTTTTAAACCTTGTTTGTAGGAGATATCTGATATCAGTGTTCCCTCTCTAAGCTGAGTTAGTGTGAGCTAGCTCACAGTTTTTTAGCCTCCGGCTCACACATTTTTGCCTTAGCTCAGGAAGGATGGCTCCAGAGCAAACTAGTTTATGCAGTAGCCTAATCGCTTTGTCACAACTTTAATGCCGGTAGCTCACAAAGTAGAATTTTTGCTCACAAGACTCCACAGCTTAGAGAAACACTGAAAGTGATGCATGGTTTGTTAACTTACGTTTGCAAATGTATTGGATTAAATAAATTTTGAAAAGGACATACCTTAAAAAAAACTGGGCTGACGTTACCTTAAAAATCAGGTTGCCAAACTCCTGGTGGTACCTGGAGATCTTCTGCTACTACAATTGATCTCCAGGGACCAAGATCAGTTCCCCTGGAGAAAATGGCTGCTTTGGAGAATGGACTCTATGGGACTATACCCCACTAAAGTCTCTTCCCTCCCCAAAGCATTGCCCTGCCCCAGCTCCACCCCCAAAATCTCTGGGTATTTCCCAACCCAGAGCTGGCAACCCTACCATAAACATCTCATTTAAGTGTTTGTATCACTGTGCTGGGCACTGCTGATAGTGGTAATGTGATATATAACCCTCCTCCACAAAATAATCAATTCCAGTGAAAAAAATACATGAGTAAAAAAGAGGCAATACGATTTATTATTTTTATTTGTTTGCAGAATTTATATGCTGCCTTTTCAGAGACCTGTTCAAGGTCGTTCACACAACATAAAATGAGATAAAAACATAAAATCATCAAAACTGTTCACTACCTTGTCATTCCAAAGTCAGACACTTTCACCACTCCTGACTCATTCACCAAACAGTTCCGAGCGGCCTAAAAAAAGAAAAAGAAATCTCATTAGCAGCAACAATGAGCGCTCATCCAAAGTCCTCACCTTAATGATGCATAACAGCAAATATACAGAGCACTTTTAAAGGAAGTTCTCTCTGGGGACCAGCCACTGGTGTATGGCTGCCAGTTCCCGTGACGAACACGTTACACACATCACATAAAATTTGGCCCTCAGACTGCAGTCAGAGACGTTAGTCTTTAACGTGCCACAACTTCTGGTAAATTTTTATAGGCTGGGACTAGGGTGATCAGATGCAAAGGAGGTCAAGGATCCTATATATTTAAGAGTTTTGCAGAAAAAAGTACAGCTTGTCATGCACAGAGGTGAAAACAGCAGGTTCTTCAATAATGTGTTCTCAAAAAATCTTCAAGAGATGTGTGTGTGTTTGTGTGTGTATGTGGGTGGATAGATGGATGGATAGGTAGGTAGATAGACAGACAGGTAGACAGACAGGTAGATATCACCTGTCCTTGTTTGTCTTAAGTCATGATTACTGCATAAGAGAAAGTTATGAACTGGAAAATGTGTTTGTACAACAGCTTTTAACACTTCCAATGTATAGAGGCCCTTTAATATATCACTTACTAAATCTCTGTGGATAAAGCTGTTTCTTTCTAGGTACTCCATTCCTTCACATATATCCTGGCACATTGTCAGCAGGTTGTCGTTAGTAAAATGCCCACGTCTCTGCCGAAGGTAATTCAGAAGGCAACCATGCTCCATGAATTCTGTCACTATGTAAATAGGTCTTTGCTGAGTACAGACTCCATACAGCTGAACTAACTTAGGATGGGTTAGCTTCCTGGAAGGAATTAAAATAGAAGTTACTATAACTTCAGCACCAGAAAAAAAATATTGTTTAGCATTTGCAAATTTAGCTTTAATTAAAAGAGCATTAACAGTGCGATCCTACCCTGCAGAGACTGGAATAACTTTACATAGGACTACAATGTTATTAATCATACATGACAGAGACTTCTAGGAGGCATTGCATGAAATTTTCAAGTATTTGCTTTGTTTAATCATTATTTTCTTAAATCTAAAAACATACAAGCTAAAGACCTAAAGCTATAAAAGTCACAACAGAATAAAACAACCAACTATGAGAATGCTTTAGTGATTAACTGCAATCTAAAACAAAGCGACATCTTTCTTTTTTTAAAGAAAAATATTTATTTCCTTAAATTGATACAAATAACTCAATCAAATAGCATACATCTCCAATTTTGAAATTAGAAAGCCTTACAAGCAAACAATGAAAAACTAACCAAGGCAACAAAACAGTCAATGTGAGCAAAGAAAGTGACATCTTTCCAAGTCCTATGAAGTCAGTGGGCTTAGACAGGTGTCACTGTGTTTAGGACTCCACTGTGAAAGCTCTTTAAAATAAAAATGTCTTTCTGTAGTGCTGAACAGAACTAAGAGAGCTGGCAGCTCTCCCTAAGCAGGAGGTTCCACAGCACCAGGGCTATTTTTGGGCAGGAACACACAGGAACGGAATTCCGGCTGGCTTCAGAGTTGGCCACGCCCACTACAGCCAAACCCTCTGCGTGCGTGGTTAGAGGGAAGGCCTGGAGAGCGATCCCCCCCTGGCAACTCCGAGGCGGGCGGGCCAGGGCCCCCCTGGAAGGATCGGGGAGGCATTTAAATGCCTTCCACAGTCTGCCCAAGGGCTGGCTTGCCTGGGCTCCCTGCAGCCGTGGGGCGCCCAGGCAAGCGAAGGGAAGGGCTTGTCCAGGCTCCCCACAGCCACGGGGAACCCGAGCAAGCCAAGGGAAGTAATGGGGTGTGGCCTAATATGATAATGAGCTGCACTGTCAGGGGTGTGGCCTAATATGCTAATGAGTTTCTGCTGTTGGGTGTGGCCTATTATGCTAATGAGTTCCTGCTGGGCTTTTTCTACAAAAAAAAAGGCCCTGCACAGCACCAACTCCATCAAAGAAAAGGCCAATCTAATTGCGATACACAACGGGAGATAGAGCAAGGTTTATCCAAACACCGAAGATCAGAGATGAACATACAGGACAACATGGTCTCTAAACTGCAAGCTGCTTAGGGCCTTTCACCAGTTACTTACATCATGACTTTAGCTTCCTCTATGAAGTCCTCCTCGTACATTGCACCTTCTCGGATTGCTTTGATAGCCACTTTATACTGTGCCCTCCATTTGCCCAGACGCACTACCCCGAAGAGGCCACTGCCCAGTTCTCTCATAAAAGTGAGCTCTGCAGGATTGATTTCCCATTTCTCTATAGGGAAGAGAAATAAAACAAACAATCTTCAGGCAACATATGAGGGTACTCTTAACATAATGAAAGGTAGATTATGGCTGTGGGACTAGGGTTACTACATATCCCCTGTCAACTGGCAGGGGGGTGCGATGGGGGAACTTACCGGCAGCAAACGGAGCCTAGGCCTCTGTTGCCAACAATGCAGGGATGCTCTGGTATTTGGGCAAAAACTCTATGGCAGAGACCTAGGCCTCAGTTTGCTGCTGGTAAATTCCCGTCCCCCCACCAGCCAGCTGAGCCGCATCAGGGGGAAAGTCCCCCAAAGCAGGGATCTCTCGCCCCCAGCAGGGGCCTGGGAACCCTACGTGGGACCCTATTCCACTCAAAAAGTGTTCCAAGCACCAATCCTGCCATTTTTTAATATTCTGATTTTTCTTTAAGTACAGAAGTCACATAGAACAACAAATTGTGCAGTGATGGAAGGAGGCTTTGCTTCATCTAACTGAATCCTTGGACGCTAAAGCTGAATCTTTTCTAGTTACAGGATCTTCAACAAACACCCAAGCAGCCTCCACTTGCAGACCTACAAGGAGTGTATTCTGGTATCGCCTACAGGATGTGAAATAGGATTAATATCATTTTGTCATGTTACTTAAAAAGGATATTATAACTGAAAAGTAAAGGCTCCAATGATCCGAGCACTATCCTGGCTTTCCACAAACCCTTGCTCATCTACTACAGGCCACCTAGGCCACCCAATTGAAGCTCCTTCCATGTTGAGTCTTCAAAGATTTTGGTTGTGAATCTTTGCCGCCAAGGAAGCCAGCATATAGATCAACTACAGTTCCAACATTTTCCAAGGCAGATGGTATCATTGCTCAACAACTCTTAAATCAGAAACAGCCCCTCCCCCAATTTGTTTCAACTAAATATCTTGCTATAATATTTTTACCATCCTTACATTTATGGAAGTCGCTTGCTCCCTCCAGAAGGGGTGCAATTTTTGCCAAATTCCCCCCATTCCACTGAATCCCATTTCACCTCTCAGGGGTCCACCAAGCTATTAATTGCTCCACTGGGGAGGCATACAAGTAAGAGATATGTGTACTGCAAATTTTCTCAAAGGACTAACCAATGGATCCCTGAAGCCATTCAGACTGGGAAAACAACATGGAAGAGAAGGTTTAAAAACCTGCTCCCTGTGGTCCTGATCAAAATCAGACCCCCATGTGCCTGATTATGTGTGTGTGTGTGTGTGTGTGTGTGTGTGTATAAAGCTGAGAGTTCCAATTATGAAACTCCCAGTGTTTCATTTGATTTGGCCAACAGGATCCAAGCTGTTGCTGTCATGGATGCACAGTAAGCAATTTTTGTTCTGAAGTCTTTGAAAAATATTTTTGAATTGACAACATTTCCATTTCCCTTACTCTCTTTATACTTTACCATATTTTATATTAATTACTGACAGCCCTAACAGGACATAAAATACTGTAAAATTAAACAGGGCACAATGCATACACACTGAACTGGGAAAAGCTGTGTGATCCTAAATTTAACCGCAGATCTAGAGAGTCTGCACGGCACTCTGCTGACATCGACCCACCAACAGGAACGGGAAACAAAAATGTATTTTTATGAAGGGTAAACTAGTGACTTGGATTCCACAGAGAATTTCCATAGTGGAAAGATTTCCCTTGCAGATACACTCTATTGCATCCAAGTGTCCTTTCCAGATTTTGAAACCTCTTATTTATACCAGCAATAGCTATTACGGCTAAACAGCAAGATACTATTTTTGCATTAAAATAATGTAGGAACCTACATTTACTAATGCAGGTCATCACAATAAAGGACTGGAACTTTATTTAGAAGTTGTACCCCGCCCTGAGCCTGATTCCTCTGTGGGAGGGCGGTCTAACATAAAATTTAATAAATAAATAAATAAATAATATTTTAGCTGTTGTAGATCTTCCGAGTTGTATGGCAATAGCTAATAAACTCTGGCTGTGAACGCCTTTGACAACATAATATTTCAGTTCATTATCTTATTTTTTCAAGGGAACGGAATGGCTATATCCTACAGAACTTTTCTGCTAATGGTGATAATTTCTTCTGGCAGAAGGGGACTCGAGTCTCCAGAAGAATCTCTTGTACCAATGAGAGGTTACTTGTGCCAGATGAAATGCCACCATTAGTGGAAAAGTTGTACAGAATCCAGCCCTACATCTTTTCTTTCTATGGGAATGTAAACATACCGTAACTGAATCCTGCAGTAGTTGGTGTGACTTTCTTCTTCGGAGTCACTGGATATCGCAGCCTCGTCACAAGTCCTAAAGCACAGAGAAAATTCATATGGAAAATAGCTTACCTCTAAAATTAGGATGGGAAAAAACTATCTAAACTATTATCACTGAGCATATTATTGCATTACCATACTGAGCACTTCTGTTTATTAAAAAGGCACTCTCTCTCTCTATATATATATATTTTAAACACCATTTCGTGCATGGAAAGATTTCTATGGTTGAATTTCTGAATTTGGAAGCACAACTTCCTCAACCTTCACCTCCTATTGCAGTCCAAAATGCCCCTGAAACGGCTGTTCCTAGGGGACGGGGGATTCACATATTACAGAATACACAGGTTGCATCTGCAGTCCCCACTCCTCATCCTCTGTTAGACAGTAGTAAATTGTGGGATTCTCAATTCCTGCATGTGTGGTACCTAATTTGGAGTAAGATCATTGCATGTATGAAGGAGTAGTTTCAGCTTTCCTCCCTGTGCCATTTTCTCGTCCTGAAATAGCCCTCCCCCGGGGGGGCACTACTTGGCGCACTTGGCCAGCACACATGTTCCCTGTGGTTACATATGGGTTTCCCAAACACCTTATTCCTGGGAACACTGCAGTTGGAAACACAGCATGGAATAGCGGGGGAGGCTGAAGCACCTTGTCCACATACATCACAGTCCAGATCTGAATTAGACACCACACACACGGGAACTGAGGAGAATTCACCTACGAGCTATGAAATGTGACCGAGGGTGGGGACTCTATAATTTGTGAATTAAAACAATTTAAGAGCATTCTGTAACTCCAAAAGTGATAATAATTAAAGAATGCATTACAAGCAGAGAGTCAAAAATATAGAATTTCAAAAGAAAACAGATAAGGGGAAGGGATATAACAAATTTATGTGCTGTATCAATGCCGAAACTACAGAGAAACCTCATGATAACACACTAATCAGAACCCAAATAAATGTACATCTAGTTCCATGGGCCAAAGGTGCTTAGTACTTTTTACACACAGGTGCTATTGCAGCCCTATGCAGCACAGCAAAAGACTTTGGAAACAGGGTAGTTGTAAACACAAGTCTTTGAACACAAGTAAAATAACTCTTTCATCCTGGTTAACTTGTTTAGCACATACAACAGCTGCAACCTTCCTAAGTATACTTATGCAGAAGCAAGTTTCACTGAAATCAATGAGTCTTACTCGCACATAACTGTGCTTATGCAAGTCATAATCCATTTCTCGAATCCCCTGGCATGGATCATGATAATGGCTTATTGTTTAACTGGGTTCCAGTAAAGCTAGACAAATCTCTAAAAAAAGGAAAAAATAGCTATGAAGTAACTGTGCGACTGAACAACAAAACCCGATCAAAACAAAATCTTTTGCAAATATGCTTCACTCTGCAACAGTTCAAGTGAACTGCATTTTGTTACGTAAATGTAAGGAAGAGCAGAGCATGCCGTTTGCATGCAGAAGATCTGGCTTATGGGTATGAAGAAGAAGAAGAAGAAGAAGAAGAAGAAGAAGAGGAGGAGGAGGAGGAGGAGGAGGAGGAGGA